TCGAAAACAAGAAAAAGTGAATTTTATTTGTTCAAGAATAAGTTATATATATTAGTTTGTCGAGTCTAAATTATCAGTTATCATTTATCAATTTGATTATTTCGAAAAATAATTTTTAATAACAAATCTTTCGATAGTTTATAAAGAATTAAATATTTAAATTAAAATTTTGCGATTCGAAAAGCATATAAAAATTTTATTCCCTATATAAATAGAATTTTTCTATTTTTTTAAAAATATTATTTTTATATTATTTTATTATTTTTATATTATATATTATATATAATTATATTTTTATTTTTATATTATATATAATTATATTTTTATACTATTTTATTAATTTTTTAAAAAAATAATAATAAATAATAATAAAAGATTAAATTAAATAAAACTTTAATAATTTTAATTTTAAATAATTTTAACGAAATTTTAATAAATATTAATAAAATAAAATAATAAAAATTTTATTTTTATTTATTTTATTTTTATTTTTTGCTAAGAATAGAGTTCTACGGTATGATAAATAATTTTATTCAATTTATTTTTTAAAGCCAAAGAACCAAATTTTTAGGGATAAAAATTACTTCAGATGATGCGGTAAGCACACTTTTTAAACTCTTAAATATACGAATAAAATCATTGAATATCACGAAATTTGCTTCGATTCTGCTTGATTATTGCATGAATCCTATTTAATAAGCCGAGATTTCATATGGAAACAAATTTATTTCATACATCGTGCTACTTCAAATAATTAATTTGATCGTCAAGAGTCTCTATTCTTAATTTCTATGCAAAACTCGATTTTTATATTTTTATATTAATTTTGAATTCGTATAATTTTGGCAAATTTAAAACGAAATTTTTAAACTGAAAATGGTCCATTTCATTCATAAAATGAGCCTCGAATGAGCCTGTTAAGTGTGATAAATATGATAAGAATTATCAGTTAGAAAAAAATATGTAAAATTAAAATTAAGCAAAGTCAAAGATCGAAACAGAAATATATCGTTTTCCCGTATCAATTTTTTCTCTAAGAAACGCTCATCATTTCTGATTAGACTCACTTGGCTTATCAGATTAGACAATTTTTTTTACCAGATGGTCACTTAACAATAGAAGTATAAGTGTGTTGCCAGCATTACTTAAATTCTTCTAAAGGATCAAATTTATTCTTGGTGAATGCAGAATTCTCCAAAATAGGCAAAGAGGTTTCCAAGAATAATAAATAATAATAAGTTAATATCACTTATACTAAAATTGATAAGCACTTATCAAGATAACAATTTATTTGAAATTGAAATTTGAATCTGAAATTTTTTAAAGTTAATTTCCCTTAAAAAATTATTGTGTGAGGTTTATACAGTTTCACCAATAGCTAAAATATTCCTATTTTCTTCAGACTACTACAATTAAATTAATATCTTTTTTAAGGGCATTGCTGGTTAGGTTTCGCTCGCCTGGCTCGATCTAAATGAATTTTTGCAATGGAGTTTGTCGGATTGAGAAGTGTAGATAAGTCAGCATCATTCGGAATATTATTAAATAAAAAAAAATAGAAATCTAAAAATTTCTACGATGATTTTGTGGCTAATATCGTCTACATTAGCTCATCTCTTTCTTAAAGCACTTGAGAATCCACTTGAGAACAACTTATATACAATGTTAAATATAGCAATAATGCCATCTTACCGATTATTTGTAAAATATCCTAAAATACGAGACGTTCTCTGTCGTCCATCACTGAAGTTGACGTATATTTCATTACTTGCTAAACCCTGTGATGGTTGGCGTCAAAAGCGAGGAGGGCCAGTCAAGACCTCGACTGATACAATCAGGAAAGATTTTGAATATATAGGAGGACCAGCGATATATGGACTTAGACGATGGAAAAAAGAATGGCTTCTGGCGATAGCATCATTAGCTCATCTCTTTCTTAGATCACCGAATCCACTTTGAGAACAACTGATCTACTATAATAAATATAGCGATAATGCCATCTTACCGATTATTTGTAAAATATCCTAAAATATGAGGCGCATACCTCAATATAGAGATATCCATTCACTCCTTAATGTCGAAAGCATTCTATGCCTTTAACCCCGAATGACTCTCCTCCGAAATGGTACCATCCTATAAATGACAGGATAGCTCAAAATTATTTAGCAATAACTGCAATATGTGTGCCATTTGACATTCGAGAAACAGATATTTGGTATCAAAACTGGTATGCAGCAAAAATGCAGAAATATAAATATTAATTCTGACGATTATTTGAAATATTATTTACGCTCCACGTATAATTCAATACGGAGATTTTAATAAAGTCTTCTATTTTTCATATTTATTATATTATTTATTATTATTACATTCTATTTATTATTCTTTATTAAAATTTTCGCCTTTGATTTTCCGTGCATCCCTATCTTCAATACTCGAAAATCGCTTAAGTCAACCATCACGATTTTCTAAACTGTCCATCTATCTCGACTGAGGCGAAATATATAGATAATTTGGTGAAGAATTAACGAAAGATGAGGATGAGTGGGCATGAAAGAGAGTTAATAGTAAGTAATTTAAAAGGATGTTATTAATAGATCACTATAAAATAGAGATTGAGGAAATGCTAAAGGAAAGGATTTTTGGAGTTTCCACAAGAAATAATAAGATTTGAATATGTTTTGAATAAAAATTATGAATCTATCTGAAAATATCAAAGATATCAAAAAATTTTAATACGATACTGAACTGCTGAAAGCAAATATAATTGATAATTTGTAGCCACAATCGCTTTTGCACAAACATTCACATAACATTGTTCTTTATAATAGAAAATATACTTAAAAAATAACATATTGTAAAATAACATCGATTATTTAAATTTATATAATTTATATAAATTTTAATTCATGGAAAATTTAAAAATTATTTAAAAATGAAATATAAACGAAGCAAAACATAACATGAAAAACCGATATAAACCATAAAAAACAACAAAATCAACTGTATTTTTCTTAGTAAAATATATCAATCTGGCTAAAATGATTCAAAAGACGAGGATGATTCGAGTAATTATGGTCAATAAAAATGAACAAGAAAAATTTTTTACTAAATTTTATTTAATGAATTTGAATCTAAATAAACTATAAAACCATAAACCATGAAAGATTTCGCGAAATCTGAAAAAAGAAGAAAAGATTAAGAAAAAATTAAAGCATTTTTTTCTTATTTATTATATATTTACTTATAATGTGCCCCATTTTTATCTTTTTAAATTAAAAATTTTAATACGAAAATTAAATACGAAAATTTTTTAGCATCAAAAATATTTTAAGAATATTTATTTAATAATGATTTTAATAAACTCATTTAATAAACTCGATCAATTTCCTCCAAAATTTTCAGCAAAATTTTTTCAAAATTTTTCAAATTCATGTTAAATAATTCATAAGACTTGCTTTATTTTAGAGGTACCACTTCTTTTAGTAACCATTCATGGAAGCACTCCAAGCTTTCAAAGTTCACCTTATCTAAACCTGTCATATTTTATTAACATCCCTGAAGTCCTGCTAAATTTAAGCATCCTTTTATAAACCATTATGGTCCATTTGGAAATTCTTTGGAACCTTCTGCAACCATTCACATCCTCTTAAATTTCCTTGATCCTCTTTAAGATTCAACAAAAGTGTATTGCATTCCTTATAGAATTATTTAGAATTATTTGGTGCGTATCATGATAGCTTATCAGAGAAAAAAGGGTTCGAAGGGAAGAATACAACAGATTCTGAGGATATACCACAAAGTATTGCATTTTTTTGCTAGAACAAAGATGTTTCTCTTAACTCTATAGGGCCTTTATACTCTTCGCTAACTTCACCATGATACAAAACCATACTATGAAATCCTCTTTGAGACTGCTATCAAGCTAATACACCGCCAAGACTTGTAATGTTCTTTCTCTGAATTCCGCAAGTACATATTCTCAAAAAATCTGTGGTACTGCCCTTGTAATATTGAAACGCAATAACGCGATTTTCTTAATATTAATCGTATTATATAGAAAACTTTCCCAGAAATCCTAATGAAATACCAATCAACGTCAAAATAATCTAAGCATTCTTAAAATCTCCATACTTTTCTGTTACAATCAATCAGTAATATCGCTTTTTCTATTGTTTTACTTCAAAAACAACTTAAAATCACTATCTCCACTTTGTTCTTACAACATAAAACCTAGCATATCATTTCTACCACAACCTCAATTATAAACTGGTAATCTGTAAAAAGGAGAATCAAGATGATGGGGGATGTAGAGTGAGAATAACAAGAATCTGAATAATAGAGAGAAGAGAAAATCATAGAGAGAATTATAGAATTATTTAGAATTATTTGGTGCATATCATAATAGCTTATCTGAGTTCGAAGGGAAGAACACAACGGATCCTGAGGATACATCACGAAATATTGCATTTTTTTGCTAGAACGAGGATGCTTCTCTTAACTTATTAACTCTATAGGGTCTTTATACTCTTCGCTAATTTCAGGTTTCAAAAGAATTCCTTCAACCAGTAGAACGAAACTTTTCACTAATACATCCAATTATATCTAGAAGAAAAAACTAACCAACAGAACAAATTTTTATTTTTACTTTCTTTCTTTCCGCAAGTAGGAAAGAGAAAAAGGTTGAATCTTGAAATGATCACAGAGTTGGCGTGTCTAAATATTTCATTATAAAATTATAAATTATAAAAAAAATCCGATCTCTCATTATTAACGTGCATAACCATTCAAGAATCAGAAAAAGTGAAAGTACTACCAAGGCACATTTTTTTAAACAGAAAGTAGATCATGAAATGATTGCGGTAAAGCATCCTAAAAATAAAATCCTAGTCATTCTTATATCTATCTCTACCGACTATTAGGTGAAAAGAACTTAAAATAGTCAGCCAATCAAGTCAAGTCAGCCAATAAACCAGAAATATGCAGTTAAAAGAAAAAAATTAAAAAATTAAAAAACATACCAAACAAATGCCGTAATGTAAATGAGCAATTATAAGGACGATACATAAGACACGTAATAACAATAACTCATAAACAGCACTAAAATACCCAGGAATACACATTAAAAACACCGAACAATAAATGCCTAAAAGGCCATTAAAAGCTTCCGCACGAGTTGATGACATTTGCGAAACAATTAAGCGACACTAAAAAACAATTCCACCTATGACAAAAAAGCTTAATAAAGTTTGATAATTAATATTACGATTTTTTTTTTGATAATAAAAAATTTTACTTCTAATGAAACAAAATGGGAAATTTTAACATATTTTCTTCAAAAAATGTAGATATTGAATCAATATTGCAGAGAGAACAAAAAGAACAAAATATCTCAAAATAATCAAAATAAAAACATACGGCGATATTAGAGAAAACTGTACTCATCACGCAGTAAAATACACGCGGATCTATATCACTGATATTATTAGGAGAATATTCAGCCCAAAAATAAGATATGATAAAAAGTGTAAAAGATGAAAATAATGGCAAAACGATTTCATATACATTATTCTGAAAAAAAAGACCTAAGATTATTTAAAAGTTTTTAAATAATTTCATTATTCTAGGCTATTTCTTCTTTTTTAATCTTAAATCACTTTTCAAAAAGCCATAAAATTAAAATTATAAATAAAAATTGACAAACTTTTTTCCCCGAATTATCAGTGCAGTAAGCTATATAAACGTTATAGACTGGTACTGTCAAAGATATAAGCGTAAAAACTGAAATTTTGGATTAAGCAAAAAAAAATTATTGAAAGAGATTTAAATAATTTCTTTGTCCCAGGCCATTTTGGAAAAAAAATATCTTATTTAATATCTTTTAATATATTCTTCTCTAATATCTTCAGCTAATATCTTTTTAATTCTTCTTCTTCTAAAAACTCGCACTTGTAACTGCTTGGTCGGCATAACTGAGGTTGTAGCGATGAAAAGCGAAGAGAACCAATCGAGAGAACACATAGAACCAAGGGGAATTTTAATTAAAAAAGAACTCCTGTGAAATATAGGCAACTACAGTGAAATATGGAAAAAACTGGCAACATTTACTTTTCGACATAACGATATAACGAGATAAGGAGAAGATGTCATATTCTAGTCGCCAGTACAGCCAAACTAAAAATAGCTGGGCTGTTGGAAGGAGAAAAATTATTTTTTAAAATCACTGGATCGATCCATAAAATAATAGAGATTCGATAAATTTTTTACAAAAATGAAAAATCAAAAAAAAAACTGACCATAAAATAAGCGTTCAAAACATTGTGCAAACGTAAGTGTATCATATATATAAAATTTTATCGACTGATATCCAAAGAAATAGCAAAACAAATAAAAAGAAACAAGACTCTGGAAAAAATATTCATTCATGAATCGATTTAAAAAAAAAAAGCTCTCGAATGGTCTATTTTATCAAACATCCAAATTTTCATATTTCCCATTGTTTGCCCTTTCATTAACTAAAAATGGTATTTATCATAAATCATCTATTGTACATAAGCAATCACTAACAATGAAATATATTACTAATTATAACTGATACAGTTTGAAAAAATATGAAATTTAACGTTAAAAAAAAGGGATTGAAAAAATTAAACTTACAAATTGACTGAAATCGTATCCCCAAGGCAAATATAAAACACCAGTATTATATTTTTCCCAATGTGATAAAATGAATGTAAACTGTGAACCGATTAAAATACAGAGAAAACTTTGAGTTGTTAAACTAAAAATTTCGTATTAAAATAATCGTATTAACTAATATTGGTTAAAATTATTGCGATTAGAGCTAAGCATCATAAAATCAAGCTCGTAACTCCTAAATGACTGGAATGAACATGAATGAAAGAGAATAAAATAAGAAAAATTTCAAAGAAATGTCTTATCTATAAAGCCTGCGAAGCTAGCCCGTGTAACCAGTGATAGTACGTGATAGTTGAAGATTAATTACTTACCCGAATTCACCTCTTCCAAAAGCAGAAAACAACGTTACAGTGAATGGTAAAACTGACCACGAATCAAGGCCATGATCAACTAAAAAAAATCAAAATAAATTCAATTTCAAAAGAAAAAACAAAAGAGAAAACACTCAATATAAACAGCTGTTACTACAATCTTCAAAAAAAAATAAATCAATGGAAAATATAGTATAAAAGCGATAAAGTCGACTAACAAAGTTCTCCAACTGGTCCACTCGAACCCGTACGACGAGCTTGTTTTCCATCTGTTCCATCAAGTGTATGTGCTGCAAACGTACAAAATGCACATAATAACCAAACCCATGGTGGTATTACTCCTAAATTATTAAAATTATTAATATATTATTTTAATATATATTATAATAATCCTTATTATTCGGCCGAATTTTAACCACTTTTTAAAGAAATCTCAACATTACTAACACTCGCTCCGCTGGCATATCGCACTAGACAAATATACCAGGAAGACCCTTCTTGGCGACAGAAACACAGGTGAGTCACCAGCATTACCCGGATTTCCGGATAGGTTTACTTCTGTTGGGAGTATAACCTCAGCATTGGCGCTCCGAATTGAGCAACAACCCGTTGAGTCCTTTAGAACTTTAAGCTTTAATTTTGTACGGTCTTTTTGCCTCTATAAAAATTAAAAAAAAATTATGAAAATTTTCTAATTTAGAAAAAATTACTGAAAAAAATCATTAGCATAATTTTTAGCAAAAAAAAAATAGTTGATTACTTGACGATGAAAATTGTGAATTCGAGCTAAATTCATAATCGAAGAACGACACAACAAAAAATGCAAATAACGCACATAAAAAACCGCTTAATGTTAGTAAATTCGGAGCGATCCAAGTTGGATAAAACTGAAAAAGTGAGTAAAAGTGAGAAAAAATAAGACAAATTCTTTATCATAATTGGTATCTGCTGATTAACCGATCGCATTTTAGGCAATTATTTTAGGCTAATAGATTTGATAGAAGAGGCCATAGGCCATCAAAGTGGATGGATAATCGGCAAGCGTATAAATTAGTTTAAAAAGAAAAAGAATGCTTTTTAGTTTTCACCTGAACAATCCAATTCCAAAACGGATGATAGATATAATTCGACAGTGGACTCGTATCCAAACTATTATACTGAAAACAAAAGGGGAATTTCTTTTTTGCATTTCTAATAAGTTCACAAAATTATTTTTTCATAAATTATAATTTTTATAATTTAATTTAATTTTAATTTTTTTTTTTTAAAGAGTCCTCACCATTATTGATTAAACTCGCTCCACTGGCTTGTCGCATTGGACAGATATGCCAGGAAGTCTCTTGGAGTTGGTAATTGCATTCGAAAAGCCTGCAGAGAGGTCAAATGACTCGTAAGTAGTACAGATGACTCGCCAGCATCACCCGGATTTTTGTACAGGTTTACTCATGTGGGAAATAGAACCCCAATATCGGCGCTCCCAATTGAGCAACAACCCACTTAGCCATTCTATTCCCTAATTTACACTAATAAATTATAAAATTAAATAATTTGATTTAATTGATTTTAATTTAATTTCAATTGATTTTTATGTGATTTTTTATAATTTTTTAAAAAATAATAATCGATTTTGTAATTTTATATTTAAATTATATACAAATTACAATTATAATTTTTATAATTTTATAATTTAATAACTTATAAAATTATATAAATTTCTTTCACTTTTAAATATTTAAAATATGAAAGAATTATACAAAAATTATAAAAAAAAAAAAACGACTTTATAATTATCAAATCCTTTCAATTGCTCGTCATTTAGATAGTGATAATCAAAGATTTTCATTTGATAAACGAAGCGAATTCTAAAAATTCCAAAAAGTTATACGAAATTATACCAGGAAAAAATTTCAAAACGACGATCTATCTCTCTTTTTTTAAGACTTCTAATCATCCACGCAAGTGCTAACTGATAATTGATAAGACTTTGATTGGAAAAAAATGGAAAATTGCCATTCTTTCTTGGCATATAAAAATGAAAACAACAGTTTTGGCTCTGGCAGATAGCAAAATCAGCCAAAATAATATGGCACGAATCGCTCGAAAAAAGAAGAAAGATCAAAGGATCAAAGGTCATAAACAACTGATAATATTACACAAATGTCGCAAAAAACATTACAAAAAATATTGATATTTTATTTTACCGGACTTAAAGCGACATTTATTTTTTTACGTAGGCGGGAAAAAAATCGAACGCAGCGCGATTAAATAATAATTTATACCTGCCACCGCCAATTAGAAAAATTTAAATTTGAATTTTTTCATTTTTTCGGATTTTTTTTCAAAATCTAAAATTTGGTGACTATTTTTGGTAAAACTCGCTTCATTGTCTGTTAGCATCGTTTGGGAACTTTTGTGAGGGGAGTAATTTAGCAGAAGAAGCGACAGACGCTTGGTCCACCGCTCTTCTTTTCAGAAAAATCACTGGTACCACGCTGATGACGGGTTTGTTTCTGTCGGAACAGGAACTAGGTCTTTTTTTCGAAGGCTTAAACCACTATCCGAACTCGTTTCAAAAAATCATCTGTGTTATATTTCTATGAAGGATTTCTGTGAAGGAAGGATTAATTGGTTGCTATTCTCCGAGAATTGCACAGTCAATTCCATTGATCATTGGCTGATTGGTTTGTCCATTGCTAATTGAATTTATGATTAAATTATGATTGATCATTATGTGATAATTTTCAAAATATTTCAAAATAACTAAATTATTAAATCAGAATGTATTAACAATAATAATAAAATAATTTTGTGATAAGCTGATAAGCTATCATAAATTTAGTAATTTGATAATTGAAATGATATTATATTTTGAAATATATAGTAAATTATTTTAATCTTTCCTTCATAAATTTACTTTATTATAGCATTTTTGCTTGTTAATATTTTTTTCTCGTATTTTTCTTCCAAATGATAATTAATATTGTTGCGCATTCTACGATTTTCTTCTATTCGGTGCTTTCTTGAATTTTATTTGCTCGCCTAAGTTGCTCATTGTATTTCATTAGGCTTATTAGGTTTATTTATTCTTTGATACCTAAGATTTCGTTTATTTTTCAAGAAAAATATCGCGAAATGAATGTTTGAATTGAATTTTTCATTTTCATTTATATATTTTTATTTATTGTAAAATTTCAATATTCAGATTTAGATGAATTCGAATCAAAGGACCATGAAAAAGCACGAATTTTTTACACCTATTCGCAATAAGTTTCTTTTAATTTTTATTATTTTATAATTGCATCGAAATAAAAATTATTTCGATTTGATTGAATTTTTATCAGCAACTAATTATTTTTTTAATTTTTCAATTATTTTTTAATTATTATAATAATAATTACAATGTATTTTTGAGATAAATTTTGTCTTTCAGGAAAGTTGAAACGTTTTTATCTCTTGCTGCATCGTCTAGCATTACAAGGTTAGATATATTATGGGAAAAAATATATTCATTTTTGATTAAGAAAAAGTACTACGAAATTCAGCATAAGGGTTGATTCTTGGTGGTAATCTTCTTGCCGCCAAGCTAAGCGAACGGTAAACCCAAGTTATTCTCCACCGATACACTTAGCTGTAATAGGATCTGAAGATATGTTCAGAATGAAGTGGGAATGTGAGGAATTTGTGTTATAATTTATGTTGTAATGAAATATGCCAGATTGTTAAGCAGCCACTAAAAGTCAGAATGGGATTTGATCAAGAAACACCAATTTATACGGATTTTAATATAAAAAATTATTTAAAAATTATGAAATCAGCAGTATTTATAATTTTGAAAATTGTAAATTTCAGAAGGGCTAGTTCATTTCTTCAACCATTGCAATCAAAATTTAAGGATAATCGTAATTTATTCGATAAAGAAGCACAACTTTCTATGCAAAGAAAGGTTAAATAAATGACAATAGTAATTTCTATTTTTTGAATCTGCTATTCTTTTTATTGCTTGCATCCCAGTATTTTAGATACAAGAATTCCTGATTAACAGTGGATATCAATTTTCATCAAATGATGCACTGCGAAATGTAACGCGAAAAGAATTTGGTGCGATGTTTGAATTTATAGTGCAACAGTTAGATCCAAATTATAAACTGAATGGAAAGCTTGAAGAGGTTTATTGATTCCTTTTTTTGTTTAAATCAACTTTTTTTCCTTACGATTGATGTATTTTACAGATTCCAAAGTTTTTCCATGATTTTGGATATCCAGTAGTGATTAAATTATCAACTATGCAAACAATCGGTGCAGCACATACAATGCCACATTTATATGGAGCTCTTTCTTGGCTAATCGATGCTATTGAGGTTATAGATATTGAAGAGGATCATTAAAAAATATTATAATATAAAGTTTAATTTAGTCTGGAACTATTTTTAGATGGGAAACAGGATATCGTGCGAAGATTTTTTGCTATCAAAGGAAGATGGAGATGGTCAAAGATTAGCGGTTAGTTTTATGTTTTTTTCTTTCTTCCGTTCATTACTCTTTATTTTCTTTAATATTGCTTTGGTTCTTATTGTCATTTCTTTCGTCTTTATTTTGTTTTTTAAGCTAAGTTTTCGAAAAAATGTTTTATGAAACTTTTATGAAACTTGAAGTAGTAATGGATGTTAATGTAAAAAAAAATGATAAATAAGAAGAAAATTTTGACATGAAAAATTTTGCAATATATATTTCAATGTTTAATGTATAATTTTAAATGTTTAATATCTGTTTATAGAATCTGTTTATTTGAGCAGTATATCTGTTTATTTAAATTTCATTTTCAGATTGAATCGGTTTATACTTTTTTCATGAGTCCTATAGTAATATCAAATTTTTTAATAATTTTAATGTTTTAGTTAGCCTATGGTTTTCTCGTAAATTGTTATCGAAAGCGTTTAACAGACAAAGAAGTTGGTTCGCATGTAAATATTTCAAAATATGAAGTTGAATTGCAGCAGTTAAGGCAAACGATAGGTAAAATTTACCTGACTTGGAGATTTATTATGTAATTTTGTTGTAATTTACTTTTTTTGTTTATTAACTATATATTGTTGATTAAATAAATAAATAATTCTCAGAAGAAAGAGAAGATTTTGGAAGTCGAATCATTGAACTCAATTTACGTGAAAATGATGTGAATGAGCAACTGAAAGAATTACAACAGAATCAAGTAACTTTTTATTGGCACTGTTTCTTTATATTTTTTTTTGTAATTTATTTTTTTTAATTTTTCTCTCAGGAAAATTTGGAGATGCTCAAACGAGAAATGGAAGATCAGAAATTAGATTTAGAGAAATTGCAGAATTTGAACGATCATTTAAACGAAAATTGTCAACAATTGCAAATGAAAAAGGTTTGAAAAAAATTTTGAAAAATTTCTTCAATTATTAATAAGAAAAGTAATGAAAAACGGAGTGATATGCTGATTTCTAGGTCGAAAATGAAGCAATTATTGCTGATCTCAATTACAAAATATCTGATATACGTAATCAGATCTCTTCAAACGAAGCTATTTTGGCAAAGCAAGAGATGAATGCTGAAGAAGCTCGTTCTTTAAGACTGAAACGTGATGAAGTTCGTTCTATCTAAAAAAATGAATTTAGATGCAAAATCGCTCAAAACCATTTGTTTTTTCTTTTTCATTAGTATATGCCTTTTTCATAATGATGATATATTTATTAATTAATAACTGCAATAACTAATAAATAAATGATATTTCAAAATTATCACTTGGTAAAATCATATTTTTATAAATTTTTTTCAGCTTAAAGATAGGTGTAGAAATGTTATGGAAGAGGTGAATGCCATCGAAAATAATTTTCATTCCATTTATACAGAAATACAGAAAGCAAATTGTTTGGTTAGATTTAATAATAATCTTTTGAACAATGCTTTTTTTAATCAAATTTTTTTTACATAAAATATTTTTACATAAGGATTTCTTATTTTCTGATTTCTTGTTTATTTTATTTTTAGATTTAAAAATTTAAATTGGTGATTTCAAATTTGCTTAAATTTTATTTTAAAGTTTTTTTTCCCATTTAGCCTATTTTATATTTTAGACGTTTATATAAATTTTCTTTCTAGTGTCATGAAAAATGGACAGAATTTAAAAAATTACTAAAAGAAAATCAACAGCGTTTCGGTTTAGATAATGGTGATAACGCACTGGAAGAATTCAAAGTATTTGATAATGATTTTTCTGATTTCCCTGTCGTCGCTGAGGTATATTCATTTCTTATTTTCTTACTTATTGTTGCAAAATTGTTTCTTACTTATTGTTGCAAAATTTTCAGATTTACATAGAAATAAAATTCTCGCTTTTTTTGACTTATTGCAGGAAAAATTAAATAATCTGGAAATTCACGTAAAGAAAAAACTCAGTGATATGGAAGCAAATTGCATAGAATTACAAAAGATTCTTTCAAATAATCATTCAGAACGAGAAAATTTGATGGAGAATCTCAATAAGCTTCGTCGTACAGCGCAGGCTAATGTTAATTTTTCATTAAGAAAAATTGATTGAAATACATGGATATTAAAAAGAAATTTGGTTGCAAGATCGATGATTTTTTATATTTTATGGAAAAAAATTTTGTGGTCGTGCATTTTTCATTTGATATGATTATAGTTTTATGTGAAATTTTGGTATAGTTTCCTATTTTTCCAATATTCTTAATTTATTAATTTGTATTTAAGGCAGACAAATATTCACTTCAAATGGAGGAATTGGCTGATGAATTGTATAAGGCGAAATTGGACCTGGATGTAGCGGAAAATGAATTAAAAGGCCTCAAGAATATGAAAATTGGCGTAGTAACCTATTTTTTTATTTTTATTTCAATGCAATCAGCAAAAATATTGAAGTATTTTAAATGAAATTTTCGATAAATTTTCTCTTAGTCTAATATGGCCGAACAACTAGCAAACGCCAAGAAGGAATGCCAAGACAAGAAACTAGAGATCTCTGAAACACGACGCCAAGTTATCAGTGAATTAATATTTAAATTTGATAATATTATCGAAAAGCGAGAAGAAATTAAGGTTTGAACAAATTTGAATCTTTCCTTTTTTTTTTGAAAAATAAACCATTTTTTTAATAAATAGTAATTTTCCAAATTTTATTATTGTGTTTTAATTGTTTATACTTTTTCGTATAGGGTGACAAATAATTTATGTAATTAGTTTTAGTCTTCCTCAGCTTTTTGTTTTTTTCAAAAATTTCTCCATAGATTCTGGCAAATTATTATTTATTTATTTTTATTTTGTTGTTATTTCTATTAAATTCTTATAGGCATTGCACTTATCTTTGCAACAGTTGAAAAAAACATTTTGGAAAGCCCTTGAATCAATTAGTAATGATGATGAAAATGATTCTTCTAAAATGGAAATGATGTAAATAATTTTCTTGCTTTCGCCTTTTTTATCACCCAAAATTTTCCTTTGAAATCATCATTTTATTGATAAAAAGCAAATGCAAACTTGCTTTTTTTCATATATTATATTTAAATATAATGTGAATATTTAATTAATCAATTCAAACGAATTTTTTTTTTGAATTTTATATTTAATTAATCAATTCAAACGAATTTTTTTTTTGAATTTTACATAGTTTCCTTCAGAAATACAGGGTTTCCTAGGTTCTCAACCTTTTCTTTGCATGGATCCTTATGCAAAAAAATAGTTCTTATATTTTTTCTCGTTGATCTCCTTGCAATTTTTGATTTATGGAATTAATACAAGAGAAAAAAGCACAATAAGTACAACACCTGACTTATCCATTGATTCCTAACCGATTTCTCGAATTCTACTCTATTTGAAATTTCTAGATTAAAATGAACAATTACGTTCGCTTTTAGAATTTCGCTCATCATAATCACTATCACAATTTTATTGTACTAAAATTTTTTTTGTTCAAAACCCTTCATAGAAGGTTATGTTTGTAATATATTTGTAAGTCTGGAAATGATTTTTCGAAGGAAGAATTTTGCACTTTTTATAGATTTGAACTTTTATAATAAAGAATTGCGCAGCTTCCTTAATTCATTCTCCTAATAGGATAACTTTTTTCAATTGCTACGAAATTTTTTTTCGAATTTTTGAATTTTTTTTTAGATTAAATGCTAAACAGAACAATAAAATTATAATAATTATAATAATTTGCAATAATATTTATAAGTTTTACGATAAATTTAAATTTAAATACCATAAATTTTTGTTAATAGCACAACAGATTGCAAATTTTATAAATTATTAATGCAAAAATAATTTTAAAAGAGAACGCCGAGAAAAAAAACCATTTTAAAAATAAATTAAAAACTGGAAAGTATCAAATTTGAATTGGATAAAATATAAAATTTAAGGAATCGTAAAATTTTTCGGAAGGTTGGTTTGGAAAAAGATGAGTGTAGTTTTAAAATTGAATTGCAAGGCCTCGATTTTTAGGAAGCAGTCTAGGAAAAATATCAAGGCTTTGATATTGAAGAAGTGCTACTGAGAAGATCAATGGATAAATCGTTGGATCATTGAACAAATCGAGGCAAAATTCTCAAAATTCGAGCAGTAATTTTGACCAGGTCAAAATCAATCACCTGTTTTGGACATATGGGAAGACTAGTAAAAGATATGTTCCTGGAAATAGTTACAAGAAAAGAAAAGAAAAAGAAGGAGACGACCTGTAATAAGGTATTAAATTCAACAACAGAGTATCGATGAGTGCAACTGTCGAGTTTCGAAAGATGAAAGAGACTAGGAGATTAACTTGGAGATCGTCCATCTATATAGCCGTTAGGGTTTTTCCTAGAATTCTAACAATTATTGCCTTTATTATTTATCTTTTTTATTAACTCGTCTCTTCTCTTGGCTATTACGATTTTGCAAAGAGGGCTTAGCGCTAGAAGCGATACGAATGGATCCGGCAGCCAACACTCGGATTTTTTTAACGATAATTTTACTTATGTCGATACCTCTTCATTGCGAATCGAAGTTATCATTCTTTTTAATCCTTTAAAGAAATATTATTGAAACTATAAAAATATGGTAAATTTTTTTTATTTTATTGATTATGATTATTTGAAAAATGATAAAAAATAAAGAAAAATGAGAAAAGCTTCGAGAAATAATACAAATTTTAGAAATATATCTATAGAAAAATCGAGAAAAATTGGTAAAAATTCTTTTCAGTATTGCAAAAAATTTTTAATTTTTAATTTTTTATATTTTTTCAATAACCAATTTTTCTTTTTGGCCTAAAATTACAAAAAAAAAGCCAAAGGACCTACTTCTTTCAACATCATTCAAGCTCCATAGGCTGTTATTTGGTGAGATATGTACAAGAGGATCGCCAACAGCCAATTTCACTTTAAATCACATTATATATTAATTTTTTTTATGATAAAAATCGAAGCTTAGGTTGAGTTGAAGCTACCATTTCGACTTCACCATAATTTCCTAAATTTTTAAGCCAAAATTTTTAAAATTCTTATAATTTTTATAATTCTTCTTTAAGAAACCACATATTAAAATTGGTTTAATGAAAATAGATAATAATAATAATAGTAATAATAATAGTAATAATAATAATGGTAATAATATTAATATTAATAATAATAATAGCAATAATAATAGTAATAATAATAGTAATAATAATAATAACAGTGATAGTAATGATAAAAATAATAATTAGATATTAATAATATTATTTTCAAAATAAACAATTATAATTTATTTGTGGATAACGAAACGGTTTTATAAACAATCAACAATTATTTATAGAAGGCTAATTTTAACAAAATAAAAATATACGAAATGTGCGTATTATCAGAATTTCAAGGTTATCAGAAAAAAAATTGATTAGATGAGGTTTTGGTACGTGGTACACACGACAATCACTAATTTTCTTTCTAGTATAACCTTAATTTACTGTTTTAACTCATACGCGGCTTATAGTTCCATTCATTAACAGCTTCATTTATCAGCATATAATCTTCTCTTAATCTTATTTCTCCCCTCTCTTAATCTCCTAATTGTTGCCACTGGCATTTAATGATTTAATGATTTATACAGAAACATTGCACGCTTTATTAATCATTATAGAAAATACATATATTTCATATATTATATTTATAAATATATTTTCTAATATATTTATTTTATTTTATTTAGATTTATTTATATTTATTTTATTTTATTCTTATCTTTGTTCTGTAAAATAAAATTTATTTGACGAGGTAATTAGCAAATAAAATAAATCATAAACGCAAATAGAGAGTAAATTTATATTAAATCTAAAAGTAATTTTTTAAAGAGTAAATATAACTAGAAGGAAGATCCTCTCACCGCAGAGCTACCGTGAAGAAA